TTCTTCAGAACATACAGATGGAGAGCAAATTATTGATGAGATGTCCTGGACTGCTCCCTCAGTCCAATGACTTCCTGGCTGTAAAGAATTGTGAAATAAACATGTCTGATGTCTGGTTACCAGTAACTCAAAAGACATCAACATCTGAATTTGACACTGCAGGGGAGGAAATAGGGTGCTGGTGGCATTCCCAAGGAAGGGGGGTGCTCAGGTTCAAAGTGAACCTGCAGTTTATACAGAGAGAAGTGAAAACCAGACTCATTTCCAACAACTAAGGGACCCTGAGCTCCAAGTGGCAACATACCCGACAGGGCTATTGAAATAAAAATAGGGCCACTGTTTCAGAAGAGAGTGAAGGATCCTGCTTATGTTTCTGTGATTGTCCACAGAGCACACATCTCAGGATCAGCCTGAGTTACTGATCATCTGCATTATGAATAGTGGCCAGTTTCAAGAAGAAATTATTAAACTGAAAGCCCAATATCTCTGGAATACTGGGAGGGAGTATACCAGCTGGAAGTGTTCTCTGCCACAGGTGATAGAAAACTCAACTCCCAGTGCCTGAAACAGAAGGACATACGTTGTTTATTTCAGAATTCCTTGGTTCATGGTGTTCCTAGGCCAAGAGAAATGCCTGATAGTTCTGTTTTTTAAATAGTTAGGTCCAAAAAACTTAATAAATATTTATATCCTAACAACTTAGTAGCCATTTGAAAAAAAATACACATATAATGAAAAGGAAAATACTTATATTTTTATCTCATTCTTAAACAACTATAATAAATAACTCAATTGAGTTCTTAAATAACTTAAATACTTACTAATTCTTAAATACTATGGTTACTTACCCTGGGACACCATGGGGACAGGATGGTTACTTTGGGGCACTGCACAATTTCTCAGACCTTGGAATAAGATTGGACACTGCCACATTTCCTCTTCACATATTTTCATACAGTACCTGCTTTTTATTATGGCAATTCTGTAAAACCCACCTTGCAAAGATATGATGTCATTGAAAGGGATATAGAGCCATTTAATATTAAAACTGAACTGCTATCAGCTAGTAATTCACACAGTGTCTGACCAACATTAAGTATCCCTATATTTCTCTTAAAAATTTAAAGTATCTTCCAATCCCTCTGTTAGTTCACTGTGGCTTTCTGGGGTGTCCTGGTACACAATCTGGGAAGTGCAGGTTTATTTAACAAGAAGTTTGGAGTAGTTGGTCTGAGGTTAGTCTGGTGGCTTGATGATGTCACCAAGTGATGCTGGGGTTCTTGTTCACAGGGTCAAAGAATGAACTTCGCAAACACTCAAGGTAGGAGAGCGAAAGAGAGGCTTTTATTTAGAGACAAAGCAAGAGGACAGAGCTCCTGGCTCTTGCCAGGAGGGGCCGAGAGACCCCTGGGATGGTGCATTGTTTAGGGGTTTCATAGGCTGTTGAGAGACAAAGGGCTAGGCATGTACACCTGCTAAGTGGTCCCAAATTGTTTATCTTTGAAGAGACATTAAGTTTCTTATTAGTCTTCCAAGGTGTTAACAAGAAACTTACTGCTCTGATTTCCTCCCAGGATAGCAATGTCCTGGTCAAGACTGCCTGCTTTGCTCCCAAGGTGGGCTGAGTTATTTGTCTGTTTGTTAAAGAGTATGTTAAGAAACTTACTTTTTAACTAACTGGGCTTTTAGAGTGCAATCTTATCTTCAAGATGGAATCCTTCCTGTTTTTACTAGGTTGTTTTGGGCTTGCTTGCTACATTGCCCAGGTTGCAAATCATTTGTTTAGGGCTGGAGGAAGAAAAGCAGCACTGGATGAAGTCAGAAAAACAAGCTGGACCCCCAGCAGGCCAAAGCAAATCCGGCAATGGATTATCTTGCTTTGTTTTTTCCAAAGGCCCTCGCCCTAGTCTGTCTAAGCCCATGGTCCCTGTCTCACAAGGATATACCCTTTTGGCAAGTTGCACCTTGGGGTCACAAAATTGCTGCATGGCACCAGCATCATGTTCTTGCACAATTATGCAGCCATCAGTGCAAGAAAGGAAAGAAGGTGGTATGGCAGGATAAAATTCTCCCTGCTTTTAAACTCCATCTAGACCTGGTGTTGAATGGCAGACAGGTACCTATCGATGCAGAGACGTCTTAAATTATTGCCATCAAACAGAGATACAAATTAGAGATCTTGACAACCAGTCAACCAGTGCTGGGATTGGAAAGCCTAAAAAAGTTTGCCGGTCAAACAATTGCTTAGGAAGATACTATCCCCTCAGTCCACCAGTTATTCTAGTGGTTAAAGGGAGATAGTACATTGTGTATGGAGACATTGGGAAATGCAAGAATTCTTGTGTTGTGGAAATGTGTTGTTTTGCCTGAATGACACTTATTGTTTCTCTGGAAAGCCACTGGTTTTGGATGTACTGAGTTTAATCCTGGCTCTATTGAGGTGGGGGGCGGTCACTGCCAGGACCTGGCAGACTGATATCTAGTTGGCCCAGGAGTTGGGGATGACATACACCTGATCTGAGATTTGAACAAGGAATAGAATTTGGTCAAAAGGGCAAGAGAGAACTCTGAATAGAGGGAACAGCTTGGGTACGACTATCATGTGGGTGACATGGAGGGGTGACTAGGATGTGAGCAGTGAATCAATATTTATTATGTGAAGCCGGTGAAATGCTGGGGTGATCTGTTACATCGGTTAGCCTGCTCTGACCAGTACAAACCACGATAGCTGCTATTTACCAGGCACTTGCTCTGAACTGGGCACACTGATTGCCTCTCCACACAACAACCCTGCGGGGATGGGTACCATCAATAGCCCACTTTCCTGGAAGAGGACACAGGCTGAGGGAGCAGCCCACAGGTAAAGGCAGAGAAACCTGGTCACCGAGCCTGGACCCAAGTGCCCAATTATGCCCTGCTGGCTCCCAGTAGTAAAGGAATGGATTCAAATTGAGTTGGGCAAAGAGGTCAGATAAGGAAGTATCACAGCAATAGCAGCTGGGAGTTCCTGCCTGTGAAATGGGAAAATCATAGACCATCACCAGTGTTGAGATCATGCATGTGAGGTGCCCAGTGTAGGGCCTCGCACCTAGCAGATGTGTAATAAGTGTTTGATTTTTTTTTTCAAGAGACCAAGCAAGAACTAATAAAGGCCTGGGTGAAAACAGGACAGAAATATTCCAGAAGCAGCACCTAGCAGGACTTGGGCAAAGCACGAGGCAGATGGGGAGTTGAGGGTTGAACAGTTATGTTGCCACTTGCAGGGACACAGGGAGGAGGGTATTGGTTACATCGTGTGCGAGGCACTGTGGGGACGCAGGAGGGAGAGAGCAGGTCTCTACCAGTGAAGCATCGAGCCGTCTGTCCAGCTGCGATGCATCCACTTGTGTCCTGCAGCAGATACTTTTTTAATCTGCTTGGGCAAATTCTTCAACTTCCTTGTACCTTGTTTTTATCATCTGAAAATGGGGGTAAGCAGTAACAGGACTTATCAGGTTGTTAGTATAGTTAGAGTGCTTAGCACAGCATTAGATATGTGCTAGGAATGGATAGTCAATATATAGTAGAAATTTTAAATAAAATGCTCTTATCCTTGACATTATTTCTCTATCGCTGTCTATACAAATGCTCAGATAATAGTTACGAAAACTGAATAGAATCCTTGCCTGTCTTGTTCACTGCTACATTTCTAGCCAGCTAGAACGTGGCTGGTCTACAGTAGGTGTTTAAACATTTGTTGAATGTATGAATAAGGAAACCCCTTCCTCCCTCCCTTCCTTCTTCCCATCCATCCAGCCATCTGCCTATCCTTCCTTCCATCTGTCCATCCATCCATCCGCCCATTAGAAAGGCAATGGGGTGGAGTGGATGAACCCACAAGTTTGTTCTTTGTATTCAATTGTGATAAAATATACCTAACATTAAATTTACCATTTTAAGCATTTTCAAGTGTATAGTTCAGCAGCATTAAGTACAGCCACATTGCTGTGAAACCATCTATCTCCAGAACTTTTCGTCTTCCCAAACTGCAGCTCTCTACCATTAAACAGTAACTTCCCATTATCTCCCCTCCCGCCCCTGACAACTGCCATTCTATCTTCTATCTCTATGAATTTGACAATGCTAGGAACCTCATGTAAGTGGAATCGTACAGTATTTGTCCTTTTGTGACTTGGCCCACAAGTTTTGCAATCACAAGGACTATGAGATCCTGGGAAACTTCACTTTCCTAAATCTCTGCTTCCTCACCTGTAAAATGGCTGTAATAACAGCACCTGCCTCCTAGGGTTATTGTGGTTCAAATGAGATAATACATTTAATACAAGATACTTAGCCCAGTGCCTGCTATGTAGAAAGTGCTCAATACATATTTGTAACCCATAAAGATATGCTCTAAATACAAGTGGAATTGTGCACTTGTCTCATGCCTGTGCAACGACCCCAGTATCACTGTCATCCACAATTCACAGTGGAGAAAACTAAGGTGCAGAGAGGTGAGCGACACGCTTGGGGTTACAGCGCTAGTTCACAGCGGAGTTGGGATCAAACTCCAGGTAGCCTGTTTCCAGAGTCCAGGGGCTTTACCACAGCTCCATGTTTCCTCTGCCCATGGTCTTCTGTCTACACAATGTCCTGGATCAGGCTAAAGGGGAGTGAGTGGGGGGTGTTGAGGCCTCAGATACAAGGACATGTCCATGGGCATCAGTGGAGAAATCACTGAAGATGAGATTGCTGTTATGACCATGTGTGTCCCAACCCAGCGGGCTCCTTGCATCCGCCTACTGTGAGGGTCTCCTATGGGCCCTCGTGGGGGTCACGGGTCACTGGGGCCAGGCCTCGGGCACTCTCAGTCAACAGCTGAACTTTTCCCCTTGTTGGCAGAAAGCTTGCAATGCCTAACTGTCCCCTGCCCTGCCCGGCTGAGGTAAAAAAAATCTTTCCTCTTGTGAGCCTCAGAGCCACCTCCCACCCCGCTTTATTGCTCTGTTCTCAAGCCTCCTCAGCCCTTTAAAAGGAGCAGAGACTGGGGGATCAGCAGCCCCAGGTAGGAGACAGGGTCCAGGAGAGAAGGTGCAGGTTTCCCAGCCAGTTCAGGCAAGAGCCCAGGTCCTGGGCCGCCTCAGCCCTGATGTCTGCAGAGGTGAGTCTGTGCTGGTCTCGTCCCCTGCAGCCTGGAGTGATTCAAGACTGGGTCATGGGGGCTTCCTTCTGGGCTTCTGTCCCACCTGCGTCCACTCTCCCTTTCTCCTACTGCAGGTGGATGTGCCCGTGTGTGACCCTGAATTTGGCAGCAACAAGGTGAAGGAGCCAAGCATGGGGGGCAGGTGGTGTGGTTCCTGGTATGAGCGGTTTGTGCAGCCGTGTCTTGTTGAACTGCTGGGCTCTGCCCTCTTCATCTTCATTGGATGCCTCTCAGTCATCGAGAACGGGCAGGACACAGGGCAGCTGCAGCCGGCCCTGGCCCACGGGCTGGCCCTGGGCCTCATCATCGCCTCGCTGGGGAGTATCAGGTGAGCATGCAGGTGAGCAGCTGTGGGGTCAGGGCACAGAGCTGTCCGCAGTGAGTGTGGAGAGCATACTCAGGATTCCCAGAGCCCTGTGGATAGTTCACCTGGGGAGTCGGACCACCTGGTTCAAATCCTGGGTCTGCACGTAGGTTACTCTCCAAATGCAAACCTCCCACCTGTAAAATGGAAATGGTGGAGTACTTCTGTAANGTCAGTTGATCTTGTTGTCCTCTTACCTCTGTTTTTCTCCATGTTTCCATTTGCTTTGGGCTCATCCCTTGTGGTGGCCAAGATGACTGCTGGCAGCAGCTCCAGAGAAAGAGCACTTCTTATTCCTGAAAACCTCAGGAAAATTCCAAGAATTGTATGTTAATGACTGGCTTCGATCATATGCCCATCCCTGAACCACTCAGGATGACTCAGGAGATGGAACGTCTGATTGGCTGGACATATATGGGTGGATGGATGGCCAACCCTTGAAGGCATGGGGAGGTTAGGGTTGGGAGCTTAATGACTGACTGTCAGCTCTACCCAAATTGTACAAACCGAAAGCAAGAGACCTATGTTTTTCCCAAGGAAAATCAAGATACTGTTACCCAAGGAAGGAGGGATTAGATCCTGAATGAACACTAATGCCAGATATCCATTACAGGAACAGAAAGAAAATTACAGAGAGAGGCTGTTAGGGAAGCCAGGAGACAGAGAAAAAAGGAGACTTTTCTAATTTTAAGAAAAAAGTGCCTTTTGTTTTAGCAATCAAGAGAGAATCATTACATCCGTGTTTATCAGCATTATTCACAATAACCAAAAGATGGAAAGAACCCAAATATTCATCAATGGATGAATGGATAAACAAAATGTGGAACACCCACACAATGGAATATTATATAGTCTTTAAAACGAAGGAAATTCTGACACATGCTACAACATGGATGAACCTTAGAGGACGTTATGATAAGTGAAATAAGTCAGTCACAAAACAACAAATATTGTATGATTCCACTTATATGAAGTCCATACTTACGTGTGTAGCCAAATTCATAAAAGGAGAAAGTCCAATGGTGACTGCCAGGGGCTGATGGGGATGGGGATGGCAAGTTAGGGTTTAATGGGTATAAGAGTACCAGTTTGAGAAGATGAAAAAGTTCTGGAGATGGACAGTGGTGATGGATGCCCTACAATGTGAATGTACTTAATGTCCCTGAACATATACTTAAAAATAGTTAAACATAGTTTAACATTCATATATTAAAGACAAGCCTACAGACTAGGAGAAAATTGCCAAACACATAATTTATAAAGGGTTTATATCCAGCATATATATATATAATATTCTCAAAATTGAATAAGAAAATAAACAACCAAAAATTTTTTAAATGGGCTTCAAGATTTAAACAGACATTTTAGCAAAGAAGATCTGCTGATGGCAAATAAGCACATAAAAAGATGTTCAACAAAATTCATCACAACGAGTGCAAATTAAAACCCCAGTGAGATTATACTATGTATCCACTAAAATGTCTAAAATCCAAAAGACCCACCATTAGTGAGAATATGGAGTCACCAAAAGTCTCAGATATTGCAGGTGGGGGTGCACAGCCATTTGGAAAACAATTTGGTGGTTTCTTGAGTTCAGTGCACGCCTATTGTTCCATTCCTAGGTATCTAGTCAAGAGAAATGAAAGGTATATGCTGTTATGAAGACTTGTACACAAATGTTCATAGCAGCTTTATTGATAACATCCAGACACTGGGACAATGTCCATCCACAGGTGATGTGACCACCAAACAGAATGCTACACAACGACCAGAGGAAACGAACTTTGTACATGCAACATGGATAAATCTAAAACAAATAAACCGAGTGAAAGAAGTCAGATAAAAAAAGGGCATATGCCGTTTGATTCCATTTATGTAAAACTGCAGAAAATTCAAACCAACTTAGAAAAACAGAAAAACAGGTTAGTGATTGCCTAAGAACAGGAAAAAGGTCACAAGGGAACTTTGAGGATGATACATATGTTCACTGTCTTGATTGTAGTGATGGCTTCATGGTTGTATACATGTGTAAAAACATCAGTTGTGCACTTTAAATATGTCTGACTTATTGTCTATTGGTTGTAAGCTGTTCAGGAAATAATAAAAAAAATGTATCTCTCCACAGATGTTTCTGTTTTCTGTTTTTAGATAGTTCACCTCTTATAGAGATATTTTTACCTGTAAAAACATAGGCTTTGGAGTTAGCAAACTGAGGCTGCCCCTAATTACCTTTGACCTTTAGTGAGTTGCTGGGTCTTTGAACTTGGGTTTCCTCATCCGCAAAATAGAAGCAATACCTGTCACATAGGATTGTCACAAGGACTCAGCACAGTAATGTCTGCTGAAAGCTCACTGCAATGTCTGGGATAGGGCTTGGTGACCCTTAACCTTACTGTGTTAGTATAAATTGCTGGAAAAATAAAGGGCATAGTAAGGGCTTCTGCTTTTTAAAGGCAATTTCTAAATGGGCATGTTTTAATATTTTAGGGGGACAAAGTGTTACAGCCGACAACAGAGAGACTGAATTCAGCATTCTCTTCTTAAGGGTTATAGACTCATCTGTGGATTATCCTCTTGGTTATGTCCAGAAGGTAACTTCCTAAAAACAGATTGGTTTTATTTTTAACTTTTTTATTAAAGTACAATATACCCACCAAAAAGTACACAAATCGTAACAGCTAGGGAAACTCACAAAATGAACTCAACCTGTAGCCAGCATCCAGATCAAGAAACAGAAGGTGACAATGGCACAGAAATCTCCATGCACTGCATCCCAGGAACTGCCCCCAAAGCTAGTAATGTGGTCTGCTTTGCTTATTTTTGAACTTAATATTGCTCAGTATGTGCTCTTTTGTCTGGCTTCTTTGTCTGTGACATGCATCTGATTGCTAACCAGTTTCCACATCTATTTTCCACCCTGCTTTCTCTCTTACTCTCTTTAAAAACATCCTATCTTTGTTGAAACTTGAAGGATGAGTAAGATTTTGCCAGAATTAGAGACCAGTTTGGCTAAAAGGAAACAGACTTTTCCAAAGGGATGAGGGTGAGTAAAACTGCAGCATCTTCAGGACATGGAAACAGATGTTCATTCTGGAGGAGGTATTTCCTATTTAGTATCCACTGTTTCCGTAACTGTGATCATTCAGGTAGTTGCCAGATTTGCCTACAATAAACAATGATGAAATCAATGTCTCTGGACATATGCTCTCACCTACTGCAGCTTTTATTTCCACAGGATTGATTTTCAAATGTGAGGCTGGCTGGGTCTCCAGGTAGGCGCATTTAAACATTTAATAAATATTGAAAGGTCATGTTACAAAAAACACTGTAGCCATTCACACTTCCACCAGCAATGTGTGTGTTTCCCTATTTCCCTGACTCAGTCAGTACTGGAAGTTCATCACTTTAAAAAATGTTCTGTTCTATTACTTTTATTTTATTTTTAATTTTTTTGGCTGTTAGAGAGATTGTCTTTTCTTGTTTATTGACCTTTGGATTTCCTCTTCTGTCAAGTTATTTAAGTTGAAAAGCAGACCAAAGGATAAAAAAATAAAGAGAAAGAAGATGTCGGAATATTGTGATTATTCCTACGGAGTGAGTCTGTTGCGCCAGGCTCACAGTAGGTCCTTGGTGAATGTCACTAGCCATTGTCACTACGATTTTAATTCTTCAGAACATACAGATGGAGAGCAAATTATTGATGAGATGTCCTGGACTGCTCCCTCAGTCCAATGACTTCCTGGCTGTAAAGAATTGTGAAATAAACATGTCTGATGTCTGGTTACCAGTAACTCAAAAGACATCAACATCTGAATTTGACACTGCAGGGGAGGAAATAGGGTGCTGGTGGCATTCCCAAGGAAGGGGGGTGCTCAGGTTCAAAGTGAACCTGCAGTTTATACAGAGAGAAGTGAAAACCAGACTCATTTCCAACAACTAAGGGACCCTGAGCTCCAAGTGGCAACATACCCGACAGGGCTATTGAAATAAAAATAGGGCCACTGTTTCAGAAGAGAGTGAAGGATCCTGCTTATGTTTCTGTGATTGTCCACAGAGCACACATCTCAGGATCAGCCTGAGTTACTGATCATCTGCATTATGAATAGTGGCCAGTTTCAAGAAGAAATTATTAAACTGAAAGCCCAATATCTCTGGAATACTGGGAGGGAGTATACCAGCTGGAAGTGTTCTCTGCCACAGGTGATAGAAAACTCAACTCCCAGTGCCTGAAACAGAAGGACATACGTTGTTTATTTCAGAATTCCTTGGTTCATGGTGTTCCTAGGCCAAGAGAAATGCCTGATAGTTCTGTTTTTTAAATAGTTAGGTCCAAAAAACTTAATAAATATTTATATCCTAACAACTTAGTAGCCATTTGAAAAAAAATACACATATAATGAAAAGGAAAATACTTATATTTTTATCTCATTCTTAAACAACTATAATAAATAACTCAATTGAGTTCTTAAATAACTTAAATACTTACTAATTCTTAAATACTATGGTTACTTACCCTGGGACACCATGGGGACAGGATGGTTACTTTGGGGCACTGCACAATTTCTCAGACCTTGGAATAAGATTGGACACTGCCACATTTCCTCTTCACATATTTTCATACAGTACCTGCTTTTTATTATGGCAATTCTGTAAAACCCACCTTGCAAAGATATGATGTCATTGAAAGGGATATAGAGCCATTTAATATTAAAACTGAACTGCTATCAGCTAGTAATTCACACAGTGTCTGACCAACATTAAGTATCCCTATATTTCTCTTAAAAATTTAAAGTATCTTCCAATCCCTCTGTTAGTTCACTGTGGCTTTCTGGGGTGTCCTGGTACACAATCTGGGAAGTGCAGGTTTATTTAACAAGAAGTTTGGAGTAGTTGGTCTGAGGTTAGTCTGGTGGCTTGATGATGTCACCAAGTGATGCTGGGGTTCTTGTTCACAGGGTCAAAGAATGAACTTCGCAAACACTCAAGGTAGGAGAGCGAAAGAGAGGCTTTTATTTAGAGACAAAGCAAGAGGACAGAGCTCCTGGCTCTTGCCAGGAGGGGCCGAGAGACCCCTGGGATGGTGCATTGTTTAGGGGTTTCATAGGCTGTTGAGAGACAAAGGGCTAGGCATGTACACCTGCTAAGTGGTCCCAAATTGTTTATCTTTGAAGAGACATTAAGTTTCTTATTAGTCTTCCAAGGTGTTAACAAGAAACTTACTGCTCTGATTTCCTCCCAGGATAGCAATGTCCTGGTCAAGACTGCCTGCTTTGCTCCCAAGGTGGGCTGAGTTATTTGTCTGTTTGTTAAAGAGTATGTTAAGAAACTTACTTTTTAACTAACTGGGCTTTTAGAGTGCAATCTTATCTTCAAGATGGAATCCTTCCTGTTTTTACTAGGTTGTTTTGGGCTTGCTTGCTACATTGCCCAGGTTGCAAATCATTTGTTTAGGGCTGGAGGAAGAAAAGCAGCACTGGATGAAGTCAGAAAAACAAGCTGGACCCCCAGCAGGCCAAAGCAAATCCGGCAATGGATTATCTTGCTTTGTTTTTTCCAAAGGCCCTCGCCCTAGTCTGTCTAAGCCCATGGTCCCTGTCTCACAAGGATATACCCTTTTGGCAAGTTGCACCTTGGGGTCACAAAATTGCTGCATGGCACCAGCATCATGTTCTTGCACAATTATGCAGCCATCAGTGCAAGAAAGGAAAGAAGGTGGTATGGCAGGATAAAATTCTCCCTGCTTTTAAACTCCATCTAGACCTGGTGTTGAATGGCAGACAGGTACCTATCGATGCAGAGACGTCTTAAATTATTGCCATCAAACAGAGATACAAATTAGAGATCTTGACAACCAGTCAACCAGTGCTGGGATTGGAAAGCCTAAAAAAGTTTGCCGGTCAAACAATTGCTTAGGAAGATACTATCCCCTCAGTCCACCAGTTATTCTAGTGGTTAAAGGGAGATAGTACATTGTGTATGGAGACATTGGGAAATGCAAGAATTCTTGTGTTGTGGAAATGTGTTGTTTTGCCTGAATGACACTTATTGTTTCTCTGGAAAGCCACTGGTTTTGGATGTACTGAGTTTAATCCTGGCTCTATTGAGGTGGGGGGCGGTCACTGCCAGGACCTGGCAGACTGATATCTAGTTGGCCCAGGAGTTGGGGATGACATACACCTGATCTGAGATTTGAACAAGGAATAGAATTTGGTCAAAAGGGCAAGAGAGAACTCTGAATAGAGGGAACAGCTTGGGTACGACTATCATGTGGGTGACATGGAGGGGTGACTAGGATGTGAGCAGTGAATCAATATTTATTATGTGAAGCCGGTGAAATGCTGGGGTGATCTGTTACATCGGTTAGCCTGCTCTGACCAGTACAAACCACGATAGCTGCTATTTACCAGGCACTTGCTCTGAACTGGGCACACTGATTGCCTCTCCACACAACAACCCTGCGGGGATGGGTACCATCAATAGCCCACTTTCCTGGAAGAGGACACAGGCTGAGGGAGCAGCCCACAGGTAAAGGCAGAGAAACCTGGTCACCGAGCCTGGACCCAAGTGCCCAATTATGCCCTGCTGGCTCCCAGTAGTAAAGGAATGGATTCAAATTGAGTTGGGCAAAGAGGTCAGATAAGGAAGTATCACAGCAATAGCAGCTGGGAGTTCCTGCCTGTGAAATGGGAAAATCATAGACCATCACCAGTGTTGAGATCATGCATGTGAGGTGCCCAGTGTAGGGCCTCGCACCTAGCAGATGTGTAATAAGTGTTTGATTTTTTTTTTCAAGAGACCAAGCAAGAACTAATAAAGGCCTGGGTGAAAACAGGACAGAAATATTCCAGAAGCAGCACCTAGCAGGACTTGGGCAAAGCACGAGGCAGATGGGGAGTTGAGGGTTGAACAGTTATGTTGCCACTTGCAGGGACACAGGGAGGAGGGTATTGGTTACATCGTGTGCGAGGCACTGTGGGGACGCAGGAGGGAGAGAGCAGGTCTCTACCAGTGAAGCATCGAGCCGTCTGTCCAGCTGCGATGCATCCACTTGTGTCCTGCAGCAGATACTTTTTTAATCTGCTTGGGCAAATTCTTCAACTTCCTTGTACCTTGTTTTTATCATCTGAAAATGGGGGTAAGCAGTAACAGGACTTATCAGGTTGTTAGTATAGTTAGAGTGCTTAGCACAGCATTAGATATGTGCTAGGAATGGATAGTCAATATATAGTAGAAATTTTAAATAAAATGCTCTTATCCTTGACATTATTTCTCTATCGCTGTCTATACAAATGCTCAGATAATAGTTACGAAAACTGAATAGAATCCTTGCCTGTCTTGTTCACTGCTACATTTCTAGCCAGCTAGAACGTGGCTGGTCTACAGTAGGTGTTTAAACATTTGTTGAATGTATGAATAAGGAAACCCCTTCCTCCCTCCCTTCCTTCTTCCCATCCATCCAGCCATCTGCCTATCCTTCCTTCCATCTGTCCATCCATCCATCCGCCCATTAGAAAGGCAATGGGGTGGAGTGGATGAACCCACAAGTTTGTTCTTTGTATTCAATTGTGATAAAATATACCTAACATTAAATTTACCATTTTAAGCATTTTCAAGTGTATAGTTCAGCAGCATTAAGTACAGCCACATTGCTGTGAAACCATCTATCTCCAGAACTTTTCGTCTTCCCAAACTGCAGCTCTCTACCATTAAACAGTAACTTCCCATTATCTCCCCTCCCGCCCCTGACAACTGCCATTCTATCTTCTATCTCTATGAATTTGACAATGCTAGGAACCTCATGTAAGTGGAATCGTACAGTATTTGTCCTTTTGTGACTTGGCCCACAAGTTTTGCAATCACAAGGACTATGAGATCCTGGGAAACTTCACTTTCCTAAATCTCTGCTTCCTCACCTGTAAAATGGCTGTAATAACAGCACCTGCCTCCTAGGGTTATTGTGGTTCAAATGAGATAATACATTTAATACAAGATACTTAGCCCAGTGCCTGCTATGTAGAAAGTGCTCAATACATATTTGTAACCCATAAAGATATGCTCTAAATACAAGTGGAATTGTGCACTTGTCTCATGCCTGTGCAACGACCCCAGTATCACTGTCATCCACAATTCACAGTGGAGAAAACTAAGGTGCAGAGAGGTGAGCGACACGCTTGGGGTTACAGCGCTAGTTCACAGCGGAGTTGGGATCAAACTCCAGGTAGCCTGTTTCCAGAGTCCAGGGGCTTTACCACAGCTCCATGTTTCCTCTGCCCATGGTCTTCTGTCTACACAATGTCCTGGATCAGGCTAAAGGGGAGTGAGTGGGGGGTGTTGAGGCCTCAGATACAAGGACATGTCCATGGGCATCAGTGGAGAAATCACTGAAGATGAGATTGCTGTTATGACCATGTGTGTCCCAACCCAGCGGGCTCCTTGCATCCGCCTACTGTGAGGGTCTCCTATGGGCCCTCGTGGGGGTCACGGGTCACTGGGGCCAGGCCTCGGGCACTCTCAGTCAACAGCTGAACTTTTCCCCTTGTTGGCAGAAAGCTTGCAATGCCTAACTGTCCCCTGCCCTGCCCGGCTGAGGTAAAAAAAATCTTTCCTCTTGTGAGCCTCAGAGCCACCTCCCACCCCGCTTTATTGCTCTGTTCTCAAGCCTCCTCAGCCCTTTAAAAGGAGCAGAGACTGGGGGATCAGCAGCCCCAGGTAGGAGACAGGGTCCAGGAGAGAAGGTGCAGGTTTCCCAGCCAGTTCAGGCAAGAGCCCAGGTCCTGGGCCGCCTCAGCCCTGATGTCTGCAGAGGTGAGTCTGTGCTGGTCTCGTCCCCTGCAGCCTGGAGTGATTCAAGACTGGGTCATGGGGGCTTCCTTCTGGGCTTCTGTCCCACCTGCGTCCACTCTCCCTTTCTCCTACTGCAGGTGGATGTGCCCGTGTGTGACCCTGAATTTGGCAGCAACAAGGTGAAGGAGCCAAGCATGGGGGGCAGGTGGTGTGGTTCCTGGTATGAGCGGTTTGTGCAGCCGTGTCTTGTTGAACTGCTGGGCTCTGCCCTCTTCATCTTCATTGGATGCCTCTCAGTCATCGAGAACGGGCAGGACACAGGGCAGCTGCAGCCGGCCCTGGCCCACGGGCTGGCCCTGGGCCTCATCATCGCCTCGCTGGGGAGTATCAGGTGAGCATGCAGGTGAGCAGCCGTGGGGTCAGGGCACAGAGCTGTCCACAGTGAGTGTGGAGAGCATACTCAGGATTCCCAGAGCCCTGTGGATAGTTCACCTGGGGAGTCGGACCACCTGGTTCAAATCCTGGGTCTGCACGTAGGTTACTCTCCAAATGCAAACCTCCCACCTGTAAAATGGAAATGGTGGAGTACTTCTGTAACTATTTTTTTCTGAATACATGTATCCTGCAACCCATGTACCGGCACCATTCTAAGCAATTTACATATATTAACTAATTTAAGCCCCACAACAACCCCCAGTGGGTAATGCTATTATGTCCACTTCCCAGCTGTGCTGGAGAAAGGCCATGAGGCTTGCCCAGGTTATGTGATCAGTGACCAGCCCTAAGGCTGACTCTCTCAGAAGAGGCGCCTGGCCAGGTGATCTAAGACATGCCCATTCTGTATTGAATCCCACTCAGAAAATAGATCTCAATAGGGAAATTAAAGTGCTGTTGCCTAGAAAAGCAGAATGGTAAGAGAACGTTAACTTCCCTCTTTAAATGTCTCAGGGAGGTGGTGTCTTCTGATGGGTCTGGAGTTGAATGCAGACTTGTCACTTCCTAGCTAGGGGACCAGGGCAAGTCGCTGAACCCTTCTGTGTGCAGTGGTATAAGTGGGGATGGTAATAACAGCAATATTTATTGAGGAGTAACTGTATGCCAATACTAACTATATACATAATACTGTATATGTACTCTTATTAATCTATTCCATCTTTGCAACAGCTTTATGAGGCATGGATCATTGAGGCACAGAGAGGTTATACAACTTGCCCAAGGTCACACAGCTATTCAGTGGCAGAGATGGATTTTGAACCCAGGTCAGTCAGTTGGAGAGACCATCTATTATGCACAGAGGGAGAATACTTCTCTATAATACCAACCTTTTATTCAATCATTTGTTTTTTTAATAAATAGTTACTTGGCACTTACTCGTGCCAGGAATTGACTGGGGGCTTGTTGACTGGATCCAAGATAAGGTACAGGAAGCAGCCAGCACAGCATCTGGCGCATAGTTCAGTCATTTGTTGAGCGAATGATGAATGAATAAACCAAGAAAGTGTCTTGATTGTTTTATTGCTAATGAGTGTGAAGTTAGTCTCAGGAACATGTGTGGCATTCTAGACAATCCAGCCCTCTCCGGCCAAGCCGTGCGGCGATACCAGCTGCTCTCTCTGTTTAGGCTGGGGGCTGTGGTGGAGAGGCTGATGGCCTGAGGGCCCGACCTGTGCGGTCTCCTGGGGGGCTTCATCCCCACCCCCTCCCTGCACCCCTGTGCGATGGCAGAGCCCAGGCTGAGCTCGGTCATGGAGGCCAAGTCGGCCTGCCTGGCCCTCTCCTGCTTGCTGGCTTGAGTGCCAGCTGGTGCATCCAAACCCCGCATGAGCCTCCCCAGAGGGCCTGCGTGCGCAGCTGGGACGGAAGAGTTGGGGCAGCCTGTCCTGACACATCAGTGTGTCGGATAAGGTCCTTTTGTCCAGAGCCGAGGCCCCCTGTCCAGTCTCGGCTTGGTGCCCGTGTCCCCTGGGGCAGCAGGCTCGTGGGTGGGCTCTCGGCACTGGGGGCTTCGACTTGTGTGTGACATGGGGGGGTCTTATGGCTACTTTCCCTGTTCTTGGGGGGCATCCGTTCTGTGTACCAGAGGGCTTTAACAGGCCTAGCTCTGAGGAGAGGTGCCCCACTCTCGTGGGGCTGGTTGAGATGCCGGTGAGGGCCACCAGGGGGCACCGGGGGCCTCCTGGCTCCGGGACCCGAGCTGGTGGGGCATGTTGGTGAAAGGAAACACTGTGCCCATGACCAGGAGAGGGGCTGGCCAACTTGAACCTGCCTTTTGACCCTAGGTTCAACTTTTTGTCTACCCCCCCTCACATCCCCAACCTCTCATCCCAATCACCAACCCACTCATGAACCTCTAACCGTGCTCCCAATTCCCAAGGCCATTTCCAACCTAAACCCCTAATTTCAACTTTACACTCAATGCTATCACACTTTTAGACCAAAAATAGGGCTTTTATTGAACAGTTCAACCAATCAGTTGTTGTTCAGGGCCTGGTTAACTTACGAGGGGAAGTGCGGCTACCCCTTGATTTGGAGCCTGGGGTCATTCTAACTGGTGGCCACGTCTCTGAAGGGATGAGGGGGGGGCTCTTCCAGAGTCTGGAAGGTGTGACGGGATGGTCACCCATCACGCTCTTCCTCTGGGCACCCGGGCTCTGGGTGCAGGGTGGGAAGGGGGCTCTCCTCCCCTCCCCAGCGATCCCCTGCATCTCTTGTCCCACCACCTGACACCTCAGGGGAAATGTGCACAATTTGGTGCCTGTTTCCCACTTGGGCCAGGCCTTGAGTCTTTCTACTTGACTCTGGTGTGGCAAAGCCAGCCTGGGAGGCTGGTTGGGACACATTCCTTGGTGACATCCCAGACCTTGGCCTCATGACTTCCTTCTGCTTCTGTGGGTGACAGTGGTGGGCACTTCAACCCTGCGGTGTCCCTGGCGGTCATGCTGATCGGAGGCCTGAACCTGATGATGCTCCTTCCCTACTGGATCTCCCAGCTGTGCGGGGGGCTGATCGGGGCTGCCTTGGCCAAGGTGGGTGATCCCCGCGGGGACTGGGCTCGGAGGGGGCTGCTGGGTTGGGGTGGGGACGGGGAAACTGCCCAACTCCTCTTCTTTCCTCTGGCAGGACTGGGCTCTTTTTTGTAGGGGAGGGCTTCTAGTTCTTTCCAAACCCACCCTGTTCTGTCCGTGTCTAGACTCAACTTTCCCTGGCAAACCAGGAAGCAGAATTCAGGACTTGAGGTTTCTCTTCCTGAGTCCATGTCTGGCTTTGAGGGCGTTTGGACAGTACGAGTGTTTTTTCATTCATTCATTCATGCATTCACTGGTTCTACGAACATTCTACGAACATCTCCGTCAGCACTGAGGGCCCGGGATGAATTTGATCATTCTCCTTGAGAAACTCCTGAACTAACTTCTCATGTGTTCTCCGGTGTGTCTGCTCTACCTGTGATGGGAATTAATATTCAATTTAACTTTGGAATCCTCCCATCCCGACAGGAAGGCTATCTCTTTCTCCCATGGACTCCCTCTTCCCTTCTCTCTTTCTCTGTTGCCCTTAAGTGTCGGTCCAACCAGGGGCCCTTCAGGATGAAGACCTAGCTTGGTGTATGTGTTGGGAGGCCTGGGGGGTGAGGCTGGGGCGTTAGTCTGGCTGGGGTTTGGTCTACAACAGTAAGCGCTGACCCACTGCAGCTTTTGATCCTGAATCCCATTTGCTGTCTTCCTGCCCTGGTCTCCCCACGCTCGCATTTGAAGCCTGGTTCCCATAGAAAGAGGCCTGTCCCTCTCTCTCTGAGTCTTAATGGAAAGGAGTGCTCAGGCTCCCGCTATGGTGGGGCCATGTGCAAACTTGTCGAACAGGATGGTGACCAGGGCAGAGCCACATCTGCTGCCCACCGGGCACACCCTCCCTGAGAAGCTCCTTGCCCACCTTCTCTCATTTCACCAGAGAAGCCACAGTCAGTTCTCAAAGGGCACTCATCATCCAAGCTAGGAGCTATTATCACCCCCACTTTAGAGAGGAGGAAAGGGGCACAGGGAAGCCAGTTACTTGCCCGATTTCCCACAAGCTGGTAAGTAGCAGAGCCCAGATCTAGGTTCAGGGCCCAGATGCTTGTCTGCTCCACTGTCTTCCCTCTCCAGGTGCCCTGACAGCCCCTCAGGCTGATTTCCTGTGAAGCTGGTGGAGCTTAGGCTTCAGGGCTCCCTGTGCCCCTGTGAAGGGGTCCTATGAGGGCTGGCAGTGGGCTCACCTGGTCATATGTGTTTGTAAAATAAGGAATCTTTGTATTAGTTTTCTCAGAGAGGGTCATCTATTAGCTTCAGGCTCACAAAATCTGGAGCGACCACTGGGTTATGTCCATTTTACAGATGAGCAAAAGGGAGCTCAGAGAAGTCTAATAACCCTCACTGAGCCACGAGGTAAAAATTGGTGGAGCTAGGATGTGGACCCAGTTATGCTGACTGTATGGTTGAGCAGAACCCCTCATTGGCTCTAAAGATGAGGGGCATGTATCCTTAGGTTCCTTCCCTTAACTCCCAGCGTGTCTCTGCTCCCACTGTGAGGCTGTGCGGTTTCCCTCTGCAGGCAGTGAGTGCGGAGGAGAGGTTCTGGAACGCATCTGGGGCAGCCTTTGTGACGATCCAGGAGCCAGCGCAGGTGGTGGGGGCGGTGGTTGCAGAGATCATCCTGACAGCACTGCTGGCACTGGCCGTCTGCATGGGCGCCGTCAACGAGAGGACGCGGGGCCCTCTGGCCCCCTTCTCCATTGGCTTCTCTGTCACTGTGGATATCCTGGCCGGGTGAGCGGTGGGATTACAGTGCCCAGCCCTGGGCCAAGGCTTGGCTCTGTGGGAGGCCTGCAGAGCTCATGTGAGAGTCACAGACTCAGTTGCTGATAGGGGCCACAAAGGTAATGCAAGTGGGGGGTTATGGGCTGGCAATGGGCGCACAGCAGGGAGTGGCGGGAACTGTGGTGTCTAAGGAGGAACCACTGTTCACATCCCTTAACTCCCAGCTGTGAGGGAATGTGGGCGTGGTTTGACCCTTCTGAGTTCATTCCAAGGAAGTCAGAAAAACCGGCTTTCTGTGTGAAATTTTCCAATTTTTGTAGAGTCAATAAAACATTTCTGTAGGCTGTGCTTATTCAGCCAGCAGACAGCCAGGGTTTAGCCCCAGACTTACCAAGAGCTTCCATACCCACTGCCTCACGTATGCAGAGCCTCTCAGTAGGCGTGGGAAGGGATTGAGGAGTTCAGGGATTTTCTCCCATTTTATATATGAGGGAACAGGCTCAGAGAGAGGACACAAATAACTTATTTAAGGTCTTTGGACAGTGGCAAATTAAGCAACAGATCTGGGACAATATCCCAAATCTGCTAAAGGGGATGAGGGACCCCTTCCTAATGTCGAGCCCTTCCTTTCTCTTGAACACAGAGCTACGTGTGGCTTTCCGTGCTCTGCCCTCCAATCCTGTTCCGTCCTTCGGGAGGTGGAGTCCGGGAGGTGGGAATGTGTGTATAAAGCTGTGGCAATGCTTTGCTGCCCCCTAGTGGCTTTTGGTTCACTTACAAGCCTGTTGCGTGGGCTTTGGCTATGGGACCTTAGTCCGCCGAGGTCTGTAGGACCCAGCTTGAGTGAATGGGGCACGGATACAGACACCAGAACTAGAGCAGTGCCCTCCGGGAATAGTCCTCCTCTGGGAGGTGTTGGGACCCAAGCTTGTGGCACAGTAAGGGCCTCAACCAGGGCAGCTAGAGTTAACACTTGTACATGAATTATTATGCACACAACATGGGCTCTTATAAGCATTTTCTTATTCATTCCTGACAACAGCCTATGAGATAGGTGCTTTTACCTCAGCTTAACCACAGAGCTAGGTCTGGGTCACACAGCTAGAAATAGCTGGTCTGGGGTTTGAATCTAGGTCAGCTTGACTCCAGAGTTCACGTAGTTGACAGCTGCTTGACTTAGCTTTTTCAGCTTTACAGGGGGCCTGGGACCACCTTTTCCACTGCCAACACTGAGCAGGCACTCTCTGGTGGCCCTTCTAGACCATATGCCCAGGGATGAGTGAAGCCTTTCACTTCCTAGTGATCATAGCCTCTTCACCTGCATTTCCTTTGCGACCCCCGAGCTCCCACGATATGAGAGGGTCCCTGGGTGGTGTGTGACTGAGGCCTAGTTGGGGAAATGAACTTGAGGTGAGCTGGAGCCTGGCGGGGGCCCTGCTGACCAGTGTGGGGGGTGTCTGCAGGGGTGCTGTGTCTGGAGCCTGCATGAATCCTGCCCGTGCCTTTGGACCTGCCGTGGTGGCCAACCACTGGGACTTCCACTGGATCTACTGGCTCGGCCCGTTCCTGGCCAGCCTGCTTGTAGGACTGCTCGTCAGGTAGGATGGCACAGGGTCAGTGGCCTATCTGACGGGCATCTGGTGATAGCCCAGAGCACCCAGGGCTAGAGGGCTAGGCTCTCACTTGGGTTTGGAGAAGGGATGAGGGAAGACTTCTTGAGAGGCAAAGATTATGGCTCTAGGAACTTCGGTTGTAAGCGATAGAAATCCATCTCAGTACAACTTATGTCATAAAGGAGGGTTCATTGGCTCACGTCACTGAAGAGTTCACAGGGAGCACTGGCTTCAGGTGGGTGCTCACAGCATCTTCAGGACTTGGTCTTTCGCAGAGGCAATGCTATCCTCTGTGTAGGCTTCACGTCTAGGGAGGCAAAGATGCCCACCAGGCCCTCTGGGCTTACATCCTAGCGGCTTAACTCTAGAGGGAGGAGAACAACAGTTGTAGCAAAAGTCCTGGGTCTGATGCTCACCGGTTAAGACTGGCCCAGCTTGGGTCATGTCCACCACTGAATCAATTACTGTGGTCTTGGGGATGAGGCACTTCTATCTGCTTGTCTGGAGCATGAGCCTAATCCCACAGGGGTGCTGTACCACTCCAATGGTCCTAGCCACATAGAAAACCATGTAAATGAGGCCCCAGGAGCATGCATGTCAGGTGATGCCATTCCCATAAAATGCAGTGTGAACAGCGTGCCCTGGAGTTGTGCAGCAGATTCTAGGGTTTAGGTGATTAGAAGGATGGGTAGTGTCTGTTTGGCTGCTTCTCCTTGGATTCTCTCCTGGTGAGCCTCCCGGACCCAGAGGGTCCTGCTCTTTCTGCTCCAGGCTGTGCAGGGATTGGGGTCTGGACTTGGTATGAGCCGGGACTGTCCTTGGCTGACCTAGGCTGCTTGCCCCAGGGCCCATCTGTAGTTCTGGATGAGCATGTGGCTGAGTGAAAGGCGTCACTAATAACTGCTGCCTTCAGAGCCACAGAGATGAGCGTCTTTGGGAAAACGGCTGAAAGCTGACTGGGCTAGGATGTTGCCCCTTCCTAAGGGACTGGCTCTCCAGGCTGGAAAAACTCAGGAAGGCATCTCTCTGGAGAATTCTGGGCCTAGAGACATTTGATGGAGCGTTGGGTCTCTCCCCCAGAGGCTCAGAGACCTCACTGGGCCATCTTTTTTTGTAGGTTCTTCATTGGAGATGGGAAAACCCGCCTCATCCTAACAGGACAGTGAAGCTGAGGGCAGAACCCTCAGTGGACCCGTCCTGGGCTGCAGATGGGACGGGGGCCCAGGGGGCTGCAGCCTTACTCCGCTAGTTTGTTTCTGATAGACCACTAAGTTCTGAGATGTTCTAGGTTCTTCTCATTCCTTTGTGCTCACGGGAGACCTTAGCCTGGGGAATGCGTTGTCAGCACTGCCCAGAGGGAGGTAGAAACAGCACCAAACAGAGCAGGTTTTTCTTGACAGGAAAGGCCCCATGATCAGAAAAGCAGTCTGAAGAGGCGGCTGTTTGTGTCTGCCAGCTCATTTGCCCTGCTCCCTTTCTTTCTCCGTCTCGGTTCCCTGATGCCTCTGTGATGGAAGGACCTTCTGTGGTCTCTTTCCTTGCTTCCTGAGCTGCCAATCTACCTTTGCAATAAATAGCCCAGTATTTCCTGGTAGTGTCTATTGGCTGGCCGTGCCTTTCAGAAATGGGTGCTTCTGGGGAGGAAGCAAAGTCCGGGTCGGGCTTTAGCTGTTAAGAATCCGGTTAGCTTGAGCTCAGCGTAGAGTTCAGTGTTAAGCACTCAGCGCGCAGGCCAGCGCAGAGCCCGTCTCCCACTCAGCCGGACCCTCTCTGGAGGGGAGCTCAGTCCTTTCTAGAGTCTGGATTGGACTTGGGCTAGTCAATTCCAGATCACAGACGCGGGACCCTACTGAAAAGCCCAGCACAGATCCAGGGGCTGGTTCGGTGCACAGTGCTATCCAGGACACGATCAGCACCCCCACCCCTCCCCAGCAGGGGGCGAGGAGGGCCACGAGGGTGAGCCAGAGCTGCGGGGATTTCCAGAGGAAACTGACGATATGCCATAATACAGGTTTGGGGAACCAATGGTATTTGGATGGAAGATATAAGTGTACTGCATAAGAAAGAATAAAAAAGGACAAAAAGGCACATTCTGAGCTTTACATCTTAGAGTGTGTCATCTTCTCTGTAAGATTCTAAGGGTCATTTATGGAAGAGGATCATTGTAACCGTAGGAGGTGCTAGGGAAAAACAACTGTCCACAACAATATATAAACAAAACACTCACACACTTCTACAAGATGGGCCAAAAAATAAAGAAAATGTTCACTAGAGAAAATCACCAATACAAGAGACTGTCTGTGGAGAAAATGGACACACTATATACCCAAACATCCAAAACACTTTTGGAGAAAAAGAGGATAACAAATAACAAACCTAAAGAAAAGTAGGAAATAATGTGATAAAATCAGAAACAAGCAAATTTGAACATTCAAAAAGAGTGAAAAATGTTAAAAGTTACTCTTTCCTTTGGTGAAATAATGAAGCAAACCTTTGGTAAATCTAATAACTATATATACACACACCCATGTATGTGCACATACATATATCCCTACACATACACATACGCATACAGGTGTATAGCTGGCATTTATTGAGTATTATGTGCTCGGCCCTGTGCAGAATGCTTTATATGTATTTTCTCAAGGGAAAAAGGGTGGGAACTACTCATGCTGTGTGACCCCAACACCGAGAGGCTAGATAATTTGACTAAGTCACACAGTGATTTAGTGGCAGAGCTCAATTAGAATCCAGGATTCTGGACACACAGTCAGTAGTGTCCTTTCCACTGCCCTCGGCATGTGCTGCTCCAGACCCTGGGATACAAGCACTGATTTGTTTGTTTTTGTCAGAATTAGCTTGATCCTCCCATGGTGGGAAGCCTAGGATTACACTCTTGTATCTCTCCCTCACCAGATTGTCCAAAACTGAGAACTTAAGCAATTCAAGAGGGAAGTAGGCCAATCTACTCCCAGGTTGCAGCTTTGTACTTTAAGCCTGCTGTTGAGGCCGTTCACGGCTCTGCTACTTGCTGCTGCTGTTGAAAGTGGTCCCTAGGGGTGGTAAGTGCTACAGCCAAGTCACACATGTCCAAGCCCTGGCCGTGACTTGAAGGCGGGGTCCTGCCCCGACAATCCCACAGCTTCCATGCCAGGCATACCTGCGTGCTTCTTGGGTTCTACGCCCCAAGGCTGAGGCCTAGCAGGTCTTGGTTCTCCTGCCCACACCATTGTCCTCAAGGCAGTGAGTCCTGCCTCCTCTGGGGTTAGGTTATTCACCTTTCTTGGAAGCTGGCGACACTGTTTCCTTCCAAGTCCCCGGATCCATTGTGGAGTTTGGGGTTGTGACTGGCTGTATTCTTTTTGGTGCTTGAAACACAAAGCATTTGTTCTCCTCCCATAGAGTCTAATTGCCCCACTGGTTCATAGGAATTGAAAATTTGTAGCCCTTAGAGATTCTTTTCCCCCCTTACAAAGTCTCTTATCTAATTGTCAGACCTGAGTCAGTTCACAAACCTTAATCTCTGTGAAGGAATGGTGGGTAGGTGGGGGTCAGGTAGTCTTGTGAAGAACTCTGATACCACATGAATTTAAGAGCCTTTATCTTCACTTCCTCCAAAGATTGTGACCATTTACTAAAGGAATATACATAAGACTCACAGGGACTCCTAGATATTCTGAGCAGTTTAATTCTTGAGGACCTTGGCTGCTACTGCAGTCGGCTGCACAGAGCTGAGGCTTGTGAAGTCCAGGTGAGATGCACTTTGCCTGGGATTGACGTCATGTGTAGGTGAACTGGCTCTCTAAACCCATCCTGTGGGTTCTTCCTACAGTTCCTGCCAGAATAGTTGGAGATGTAGCCTTATCAAGTGGCGAAATCTTTACACTGCCTCTGGGACCCGTGGAGCTGGAATTACTGTGGGAAGAGGGGCTAAATGGAAGTCACTGGAACTCTTTAAACCAAAACAGTAAATCAAAGGCAACACCGGTTCTCTGTGGAAATTGCCAATATTTGTTACACCATGAAAGGCTGTGGATGAGTGCCTCACCCAGAATACATGAAATATGTGCTAATTCCACCCTAGAATTAAAGCCAACCATTATTGGAACAGCTCCCCGCCTCTTCACGGGGAGGTCAATTTCACTGGTTACAGATGAGAGACAGTAAAGCCCTCGTTTAGCCGTTCATNAGTAAAGCCCTCGTTTAGCCGTTCATACTAGTCCTTATTTAGAGAACAAGTGATTATGCTACCTTTGCACGGTCAGGATACCGCGGCCGTTTAATGTGAGTCATGGGGCAGGCAGTGCCTCTAATACTAGTTATGCTAGAGGTGATGTTTTCCGTAAACAGGTGGGGCTGCACAGGAAAGCTGAGGACTCCCTGCCGATTGTGGGGGGAGTAGTAAACCGGCAGGAGATGGATTTCTCCTTAGCTACTAATAGGGTCAGCTTTTATTACCTCTTAAGTAAGTGGTCTTTTCCCTTAAGAGACGACATCCTTCAAATTATGGCAAAACCAATGGGAGTCATTTCTTTTAGACATTTATTTCACATACAAGTTTTCAAGGAGACATCTAAGTGAACATTAATACAAAACAATGAATGGATACACTTGGAATGCATTCAGACAGAGGCAAAGCTTACAGCTACACGTCACTCAGCCACTCCTTGCATCTGGGGCTTCCCAGCTCCCTCATGGTTCAGTCGTGTCTGTCACTGGGCACCAGACCTCAAAACACAGCTTCCTTCACTGCAGCCACCCGCTGTTGGCCGCGAGGTGTCTCAGGGGCTGCCTGCTGCTGAGCACAAGGACCTGTATTGGACACACACCATTTGTCCTTCCTCCTTAGTGAGCAAGCTGCTGGACTGCTTCCTAAGCAGTGTCCTTCTTCCCAAAGCAGGAAATGGATCCAGGGGCTGCACACAGCAGGGAGCCAGGCCGCGTAGCCCAGTCTTACAACCTCTTCATCTGCACCATGCCCCACAGTCTCACAAACACTGGATCTGGAGCAATCTTGGCAGTCAAGTAACTTCTCTTAAATGTAAGGGATACAGGCCCAGAGAGAGGATATTGTTTGTCAAACAACACTCAAAGTGGCAGTAACAAGACTAAAATGTGTCTCTTTTGGCTTCTGGTCTAATGCTCATTCCACCATGGCAGGCTGCCCTGAGCTGTTTAAGAATATGTATGAAGTTTTCCTTTTTAAAGAAGATTTATGAATAAATTAGGTTGTATGTTTAATAGAGCCACCAGTAGGAACTGGAGCTATTTGTGGGAACAATAAAGCATGCGTAGGCAGGGAATGTAACCAAGTTCCCAAAGTGCCTTGGGTAAGGTATCAGAGAATAAAATGTCTATTTGTAGACATTTAAAAAAATAGTTACTTTTTAAATATAAGATTTGGGACAATTTTCAAAGAAATAAAATAGGATTAAATAAATTCAGGTTTTAGGTAGTGGGTTGAGGTGGGCTGTAGGTTCTGTTGAGCTCTCCAGCAGCCAGAACAAAGAGAGAAAAGCTTTAAGTTATAAAAATCACAGTGTTTGTTAGGTAACTTTTTTTTGCTTAGGATGAGAGCTTTCCCTGGTACTGAGGCCTAGAACAAAACCTTTTCCTATGCACCCTCATAAAAACAACGATATGTGATATAAATGACACATTATTCATTTTGACTTTCATGCTCCAGCTGAAAAAGATAAAATGCAAGTAGGCCTGGCCTAAGATGATGGGTATGACCTTCTACTTCCTCAGAACAGAGACAAAGTTCATCAAGTGAGGTACATACATGTCCAAACAGCCCATTTCTAATTAGGAATGTAGGTAGGGGAACTGAAGTTCCACTTTAGCTTGTTCCCAGACATAGGAGACGGAAACAGAGTCAGTCTCATATGGAGATGGAGCGTATCTTGCCATTGGGATGTCTTAGAGACAGACGCACAGCATTTTAGGCAACGAGAAAGACTCTTTTGCAAGGGGACATGATTTTCTCATGACTGCATCACTGACCCTGGCAGATGACATGAGGTAACTGGCCTCACTTTTGCTGCAGTACTTCCTCTAGCATCTAAGTTACTTTGAGTACAGGCACCATACCTTTGTTCACTTTTGTATCCCCCACTGTGCCTAGAACACAGCCTTACACAATCAGTTCTTAATAAATACTTATGAATAACTCATCTACTTTCCTGAATCATACTTCAACATAATTATCAGTATCAGTATTACCAATATTACTATGCAGTGATTTCTATTTATGTGCATCTTCTCTAGCATTGGGACTCCAGAACATCTACACAATATAAGCACATGCCCACTGACACCATATACCTTACTGTGTTGGGCACGCTAACTGCACTTACCAGTATGAGTCTACAATTCAGACAACGCAGAGGAAACCGACCTACTGAGATGGGAACAATCATGACATTTCCAAGAAATGTAAATCAGAAACATTTATCAATGTTTACCTGAGTCACCTGCCTTCTGATAGGCCAACACCCTATTCTAGCACCACATGCTGGACTCGATTTCTTTCTATGCTGCCTATGCTCCTTGGTACACTGCCAAATGAGTTTCAAAAGATTCAAGCATATGCAAAGGAGAAGTATTACATCCAGGTGTCTTCAAATAAATAAGAGCATCTAATAGTGGGAAGGAGAGGTCAGGTCACACATACAGCCCTGCCTCTGGTTCTTTCCCACTGAAGTTATGACTTCCCCTCCCCGGTGCGAAGCTGCTGCCGGTCACGTGTGTGAAGGGTGTGAATGCCACCAGCCTCACCCCGGAGCAAACAGCTGCATGATGAATTCCCCGGTCTCCTCCGTAACTTCCAGAACTGAGCTGACTACCTCCCCCACCTGAACTCTTCCTTCAGTGTTTGCTGGCCTAGTACTAGGTGGGTATCAAAGATATTTTTCAGACAAAAAGGTAAACAAGGAAAACAAAAACAGTGTTCTGGATGGGAAGTTTTTGTTAAGTATTTTCACTTTCACTCAGTAAGAGATGGAGTCGTATAAATTACTCAGGGCTTGTTAGGTTTGTGGTCTGAGGAAGAGGGACTAGAAGGCTCAGAAAAGAGAACTGGACAT